GTAAGTTAATATCTCGGGAACCTCGTAGTCTAGGAGGCTGAAATTTTAGGGCTATGACCCCCTTTCTACCCTCAACCTTACCCATTTAAATTCAGCCTTCCCTTACCCGCGGGTAACACGTACGACCCCGTGAAAGTTATTCACGGGTAAGTTAATATCTCGGGAACCTCGGAGTCTAGGAGGCTTAAATTTAAGAATAATGACCCTCTGCCCACGCTCAACCTTGCCCATTCAAATTCAGCGTTCTCGCACTCTCGGTTACTACCTACGACCCCGTGAGATTTTTGACGGATAAACTATTAACTCGGGAATCACGGAAAGATATTCATCCTTCAAGGTTTCGAATTCAGCTTTCATGCGCCAAACTATTAACTTGGGAATCACGGAAAGATATTCATCCTTCAAGGTTTCGAATTCAGCTTTCATACGCTGTGCGTGAAATTTTTAACTGTTTTTCAATGTTTGAACTACTTTTGCATAGACTAAAGTACAAAGCAGTGAAAAAAATTAACTCTGGGATCAAGGAAAAATATTCATCCTTCAAGGCTTCGAATTCAGCTTTCATGCGCTAACTATTAACGCGGGAATCACGGAAAGATATTCATCCTTCAAGGTTTCGAATTTAGCTTTCATACGCTGGTGCATCGGGAATCACGGGAAGATATTCATCCTTCAAGGTTTCGAATTCAGCTTTCATACGCTGGTGCGGGGAATCACGGAAAGATATTCATCCTTCAAGGTTTCGAATTCAACTTTCATACGCTGGTGCATGAAATCGAAATCACGGAAAGATATTCATCCTTCAAGGTTTCGAATTCAGCTTTCATACGCTGGTGCGTGAAATTCTCACGAAAAGATATTCATCCTTCAAGGTTTCGAATTCAGTTTTCATACGCTGGTGCGTGAAATTTTTGTCTGGTCTTCTTTATATTGAACTATTTTTGCATAGACTAAAGTACAAGGAAGTGAAAATCATTAACAGGCAATCGTTTGATGAGCTGAATTGCACAAAACGCATGATCGCACCGGCTAGTCTGGTGCGCGTTGCCATTTATTAATAATTAGATTCATTATCTCTTATTTTTATACGAGGCAATTTGTTTTTCTCAATGGTAGTGTGCATTCATGCAAAATTGTTTTTACATTTCCAATGTTTTTTTGGTAATCTCGGTGAGACTTGCATTACCGGCTGTCATCCTTTCGCTCTTAAAATTTTCTCAGTTTCTTCGCACAGCTTCGAAGGAATGTAAAAGATCTAAAAAGCTTGAATGGCTTCAAAGAAATTGGAATCTCAAAAGGTTCCAGAAACTAATTTTTTTAGTAGAAAAAATCAGTTTTTGTCCTTTTTTAAATTTTTCACCTTCCTCGTCATCCCCTGTTGTTCCCCACTCCTCCCTTCGGTTTGATTATATGCACATCCGCAGTGATAGCCGGACGGTCTTTGTATACAGTTTTGTTTGAAACTAGAGGACAACTATTAAACTTTGCTGCAACTTTTTTGTCATATGATCTAAGGACTGATAGGATACGACCTCATCCACCTTAGCTACTACACACCATCCAGAAGTACCATCCTTCTTGTACGCATTTCTTATTTGCTTACTTCGATTTCATTTTTTTCCCATCCGCTGTTTTGCAACACTGCTACTTAGAGTTACTTTAGTTTTATTTATGAGCAGACCCGGACTTTTGCAGCACTGGTGCATGTGCTGCTTGGTTGGGGAAGGACAGGGGAGGGGGGGAGGGAGGGAGGGAGGTTACTTAGCTCCAAGTGACATCCACCGCCCCTGACTAGATAATAATTCAGAAGGTTAACACGAATTCCCTTGGTTAGCTAGTCATAAAAAATAGCTCAAAATTTGATTACAGATCGTGGGTTACACTGAGACCTGGGACCTGATTTCGGCTTTTAAGGCCTGAGGGCTTTAAACTGTTTTCGAATTAAAATTTGTAGATAAGTGGAGAGGGATGATAAACGTAATTTTAGTTTTCTCCCTTTAAATTGCTTGCCGAAATAATCTTCTGGCTTTTTAGCTTTTGTTACGGGATGACAAACGCGGTCTTAAGCCCCAATTTGTAGGAGACCTAAAATCCAGTCTCAAGTCTTATTGCCCATATACCAACAGTCTTGGATGCTGACTTCCTTACACAAGTCAAGAAAGCTTTAGAAGATTAATTCCTTGAGATAAATCACCTAAAACATTTTTTGCTGCTTTCAGTTTTCTTTTTTTTGCCTGAAGATTTTTCAGTCTGGCCTGACGACAATTCACCATTCAGTGGCCTGAAGACTAGATTCAAATAATCGTCAAAAAACTCAAAATCGAGCAGGACAGAAACTGAAAATCTTGAGATGTCCAAATAACCGCATTTGAAGGGTTAAAGGCCCACATATGCACTTTATTTATCAGGCTGATTTGAACAGCATCTGAATGAATGAAAAGCAGTTAAATCCACAGACTTGTTTGGGATAGGATGTGCTGTAACTTCCGAGCGCCTTCATTATCTTTTCACTTCCATGTGCCACGAATTTGCTGTTTTGCAAGACCTCGTAAATGACGTCGCGAAATTGTTAAGTAAAAATACATAACATGAAAAGGCATCATTTTGCAGAATTTCGCATCGATATGTCGTCGGACGAATTGCCGATTGATGATGGGGTTCAGTATGGCCCAGAGCTACCCAGTATTGGGCACATACTGCGCTCGATGCCAGCAATTTACCGCCGATTGTTGCGGGAATACTATGTGAAAAAGGTGAGCACTTAACTTGAACGGTGTATCCGTTATTACGAAGAGCTTTCACAAACTGTGCAAGAGCGAAATAAGATCAGTAGAAGCTGCCAGACAAATGCCACTGTTGCCCCAAAACACATCGTACAGAGGTGGTCAGGCATTGGTCACCGGTTCTTTAAATAGAATAGGTCCAAAAGAAACTAGAAAAAAACTGAGTCTGAAGCAAATTTATTTTTAGATGAGGGGGTGTGTGCGCTGTCGCGTACACGTGACTGTGGAGATCGATTATGAAGAGGGGGAGGTGGCCCCAGCCCCGGGCGAATTTGAAGCGGAGCTCGGCGTCCCGGAGCCGGCTCCGCAGGCTGGGGCCGCGACCGATGAAGCGGCTGTGGCGGGTGCCGCTGAGGTTGCCGAGATTGCGGCCGAGGAAGCGCCAGTGGCGGATGGCGCTGAGGCCGCCATGGAGGAAGAGGGAGCGGCCGAGGAAGCGCCAGTGGCGGATGGCGCTGAGGCCGCGGTCGAGGAAGCGGCCGTGGAAGAA